GGAAGGAAGGAAGGAAGGAAGGAAGGAAGGAAGGAAGAAAAGGAAGGAGGGGGGAGAGAGAGAGAGAGAAAGAAAGAGAAAAGGAAAGGAAAGGGAAAGGGAGGGAAGGGAAGGGAGAAAGAAAATTTAAAGAAATAAAAAATTTGTTAAATGTGGTAGAAGAGAGTTCATCATTGGTGATTTTAGCAAGGGTTGTTTTGTTGTGGTGATGGTATCAGAAACCATTATTATAGTGATTTGGAGAGTAAATGGGAGGTAAAAACATATTTACTCTCAGCTTTTCTACTGTTAGGCAGAAGGGTGGTATAAGGTTTGTTTAGGTTGAGAGGTGCTGAAACATATTTGTTGGCTTGTGGATCCCAAGGGGTAGAATTTTTTAGTAGGGAAACGTTAAACATTAAAGCAAGTTAGTGAGTTGAATGGAATCCAGAATACACCTGGTATAATTAGCCTTTGATAGGAAGAAGGGACAGTTCCTTACTTGTATCTGCACAGAGAAAATTGCTTTAGACACTAGATTTCTAGATTGGGAGGCAGGAAGATGGGGAGGGCTTCCTATTTCAATGCTGTCTTTTCTTAATGAAGTATGAGAGATAATTATTCAAGAGGAAGGGAGGTTTGGAACTGTGAGAATTGCGGAGGTGATAAGAAATACTCATGGAAAATCAGGGTTTGTTATTGAGAATCAGGGTTGTAGGACAAATGATGCACAGTGTTATTAGCCACTAGGTCCATCAAGTGATGAATGGGTAAATAAAATGTAGTGTGTCCATACAATGGCATATTATTCAACAATTAAAAGAAATGAAGTACTGACACATACTACAGCATGGATGAACCTTGGAAGCAGTATGCCATGTGAAAGGATCCAGCCACGAAAGGCAACTTGTATGAAATGTCCAGAATAGGCAGACTTGTAGAAACAAAGTAGATTAGTGGTCGTCTAGGGCTGCGGAAAGGCAGAGAAGCAGCATTGGGTGGAAATGGTTAACGAGTGATGAAAGTCTTAAAATTGGTGTGGTGATGGTTGCAGAACTCTGTGAACATACTAAAAAACACTGAATTGTACACTTTAAATTGGTGAGTTGTATAATATGGGAGTTATAGCTCAATAAAGCTGTTTTTAAAAAAGTATATGTTCCTTACAGAAAATTGGAAGAATGTATAAGGGGGAGTGTAAAAATAACCAATAACTTCATAACTTAGGAGACATGGCCATTGTATACACTTTTGTTTATCTTCTTTTAACTGGTATGTGTAGTCTTATACTTAATTATATGGTAAGTTATCTTTATATACTTTAACTTACTTTAGCTCATTTTTGTTTGTTTGTGTTTTCCTTCCCAGAGCCAAATGTTCTAGCTGGCACTTTAGTTGCTCATACAGATGCTGTCTGGGGTCTTGCTTATAGTGGCATAAAAAATCAATTACTATCTTGTTCAGCAGATGGCACTGTTAGGTTATGGAAGCCACAAGAAAAATTGCCATGCATTTGCACTTACAATGGAGACAAGGGTATGTAAATTTTGCCTCTAAAAAAAGCTAATTCTTTTTTAAAATTTGGAAGACAGAAAGGAAAATTGATTTACTATTTCTTTACTGCTTCAGGAGATTGAAAGAATTTAAAGCTTGTGATAATCTTCTTACTTTGTCATTTTTTATAAACAAGAAAGATGCTTTGCAAGTGCATCCTGTAGTTCAGTGCTTTTTTTTACCCTTTTCAGGACATTTCCTATTTAAAAAATAAAACTATTTTTATGTAACAGTAGAATAGAAAAAATGAGGTTACTAATAGGGACAATACAAGGCTTTTTGCCTGCTCCAGGTGGCTGCCCACAGAAATCGAAGGGGTCACAGTCTCAAACATACTTGTAAACCTTGTATGAGCACACTGGTTAAGAAATCTAGCTGGAATCATTGAAATTGCACCCTTAACTGGAAAGTACAAACTAAGTGGCATGCATGATTTCAGATCTTTTCCTTTCAAAGAAGGCTTTAACCAATTTACCTGTGACATTTACTTACATACATATACTGTACTTGTATTGGTCTTATTTTCCAAGTCATTTTTTAAAGTTATTTTTTAAATATCAGACCTACCTTTTTAATCCTCACCCGAGGATATGTTGAGAGAGAGAGAAACCCATCGGTTGCCTACCATATGTGCCCCAACTGGGAATCAAACCTGCAATCTAGGTATGTGCCCCAACTGGGAATCAAACCCTCAACTTTTTAGTGTATGGGACAACACTCCAACCAGCTAAGCTACCTGGCCAGGGCCAGACCTTTTATTTTTATTAAAAAGTATGTTTGGTTTTAAAACATTTTAGATGAAGAGTATATGCTTAATTTTTTGGGGTCTCTTAGATACCTTAATGATTCTACTAATTTTTTAATTACCCAAGTTTTTGAGGTAAAAATTCATTTAGATATTTGTTTCTAGCTTCATCCAGGTAATTAATTGCTTGACTCCAGATTTCACCTAGTGCGTTGATCTGGCCAGTGAATTTATTATGTTAAAGAGAGAAATTACTGCTCAGACCACTTTAGGGGGTAGTACCACACGAGTGAATTCCAGTGTCCACACTTCATTTTTACAGATCTGAAAATATGTCTGGTATTGGCACTTGATGAGGCTTATAGATCTCAGACAGGTGATCAGTCTTCCAAGAGTGATGTGAGAATGCTAATTTATCATTTTACAGTAAGGTATATAATTTGCAAGTGGGCCAAAAGACTGATCCAGGATTTTTTTTCTCTTTTAAAAGAAAATGCATAGAAAGTAACTTTTTGCACATACTTACTCTCACTTTAAGAGCCCTGTAGCTATATTTTTCTTATAATGTTAAATAGAATGTTTATAAAAACATTTTAAGTAATTGAGGGAAAGCCCTGGCCAGTGTGACTCTGTTGGAGCATTGTTCCATGCACCAGAAAGTGGTGGGTTCAATTTCCAGTCAGGGCACATACCTAGGACACCTGCAGGAGGCAACCAATCGATGTTTCTCTCTCTCTCTCTCTCTCTCTCTCTCT